TTACTTAAGATGCGGACTACTTGATTGATTGCTCTCTAGCTAAGTGCAGGATTTTGCTCGCACAATGAGCCGCCAAATCAAAACAAAAAGGCCTGAGCCAGAAAACCTCAACTCCGCCCCCAAATCTCTGGTTTCGCTGATTTCTTCTCCTTTGGGGTTCAAATGGAAACCCACGGGGGGAGCGGCGAGATAAGATGAAAAAGAAAGTGAGAGAGGAGGTCAGATATATGGAACAATCTTGCGCTTGAGGTTCCGTACCTCATCTCATTTCCATTGATATTTATTTATTTTATTTATTTATTTATGCCCAGCAATAACAAACGTCGCCAGGCTCGCCACCGTCAATTCCAATCCCCTCTGGCAGCAAAAACTGAAAAAGCAAAGGTAGATAAGCGGATAACATGACCGTCCGTGAGACCATGACCCAGCCCACCCTGCCCCTCAAACTCGTTGCAAATTAAACCCTCCTCTAGTACTCGGAGACTAATTTTGTAATAATTTAAAAATCCGAGGACTTAATAGCAATTTCAGTAATTTAAAGTGGAACAATTTTTCAAAACCGCCTGATTTTTTTTTTTTTTTCCAAAACCGACTGTTTTTTTTTTTATTTATCAAAATCGACCCGGTTTTGTGATTAGCAGGCTAATCACTATCTTAAATAGTCGGGGTTGGCAACCCCGACTATTTAGGATAGTGATTAACATGCTAATCACCCTTTAATTAGGGTTTAACCCCCTCCTAAATAGTCGGGGTTGGCAACCCCGACTATTTAGGATAGTCATTAACCTGCTAATCACAAAACCGGGTCGGTTTTGATAAATAAAAAAAAAACAGTCGGTTTTGAAAAAAAAAAAAAAAATTCAGGCGGTTTTGAAAAATTGTTCTTTAAAGTGTGATAGTTCAAACCAATTTAAGAAACGGCGGATCTAATCGAAATACGGTTTTTTTATACGCATAGGTACTATATAAGATATGAGATAGATAGAGAGAAATAAGCTATCCACAGATATTAATACAAATCACGGAGACCACAAGCTATTAATTTCTCTCAATCTCTCTCCTCTTATGTAGGGTGCCAGTTGTTGCTCTATAGAAAACCCTATAGAAATATGTAAGGGATTAGAATAATGGAGTAATAATGTGGAAAAAGAAAAGAGAAAATGAAAAATAAAAGGGGTGGAAAAAAAAGGAAAGAAAGAAATGAGTTCCTCTGAAAATTAATGGTGGAGGGAACGAGAAGGGGGAATTCGTCTCTCTCTCTCTCTCTGAAATTTAAATGCGGATGGGATTCAGATGAGACGGAGCCACCCACTCCACGTGCAGCCCCAGGCACGACCGGTCATCCCTCTGCATCAAAGCAATTTATCCAGCAAAGCTCCGACCGATCAGGTAATTTTTATTTATTTAGCCCTAATCTTTTCCCCTCCTTTAACTTGGCAGCAATGTCAAACATGGGCGGTGAAGTGTTGTCAACTACAACCGTCTCCTCCTCACACGAATACGAACGAGACTGCATTCGGTACTGCTCTCACCTATTCCCCTTTCTACTTCTACTCTACCTGCTGATGGTTTGATGCATCATTAGTTAATTAATATATGGTGATGATAGCCAGCAGTTACTTAAGATGCGGACTACTTGATTGATTGCTCTCTAGCTAAGTGCAGGATTTTGCTCGCACAATGAGCCGCCAAATCAAAACAAAAAGGCCTGAGCCAGAAAACCTCAACTCCGCCCCCAAATCTCTGGTTTCGCTGATTTCTTCTCCTTTGGGGTTCAAATGGAAACCCACGGGGGGAGCGGCGAGATAAGATGAAAAAGAAAGTGAGAGAGGAGGTCAGATATATGGAACAATCTTGCGCTTGAGGTTCCGTACCTCATCTCATTTCCATTGATATTTATTTATTTTATTTATTTATTTATGCCCAGCAATAACAAACGTCGCCAGGCTCGCCACCGTCAATTCCAATCCCCTCTGGCAGCAAAAACTGAAAAAGCAAAGGTAGATAAGCGGATAACATGACCGTCCGTGAGACCATGACCCAGCCCACCCTGCCCCTCAAACTCGTTGCAAATTAAACCCTCCTCTAGTACTCGGAGACTAATTTTGTAATAATTTAAAAATCCGAGGACTTAATAGCAATTTCAGTAATTTAAAGTGGAACAATTTTTCAAAACCGCCTGATTTTTTTTTTTTTTTCCAAAACCGACTGTTTTTTTTTTTATTTATCAAAATCGACCCGGTTTTGTGATTAGCAGGCTAATCACTATCTTAAATAGTCGGGGTTGGCAACCCCGACTATTTAGGATAGTCATTAACCTGCTAATCACAAAACCGGGTCGGTTTTGATAAATAAAAAAAAAACAGTCGGTTTTGAAAAAAAAAAAAAAAATTCAGGCGGTTTTGAAAAATTGTTCTTTAAAGTGTGATAGTTCAAACCAATTTAAGAAACGGCGGATCTAATCGAAATACGGTTTTTTTATACGCATAGGTACTATATAAGATATGAGATAGATAGAGAGAAATAAGCTATCCACAGATATTAATACAAATCACGGAGACCACAAGCTATTAATTTCTCTCAATCTCTCTCCTCTTATGTAGGGTGCCAGTTGTTGCTCTATAGAAAACCCTATAGAAATATGTAAGGGATTAGAATAATGGAGTAATAATGTGGAAAAAGAAAAGAGAAAATGAAAAATAAAAGGGGTGGAAAAAAAAGGAAAGAAAGAAATGAGTTCCTCTGAAAATTAATGGTGGAGGGAACGAGAAGGGGGAATTCGTCTCTCTCTCTCTCTCTGAAATTTAAATGCGGATGGGATTCAGATGAGACGGAGCCACCCACTCCACGTGCAGCCCCAGGCACGACCGGTCATCCCTCTGCATCAAAGCAATTTATCCAGCAAAGCTCCGACCGATCAGGTAATTTTTATTTATTTAGCCCTAATCTTTTCCCCTCCTTTAACTTGGCAGCAATGTCAAACATGGGCGGTGAAGTGTTGTCAACTACAACCGTCTCCTCCTCACACGAATACGAACGAGACTGCATTCGGTACTGCTCTCACCTATTCCCCTTTCTACTTCTACTCTACCTGCTGATGGTTTGATGCATCATTAGTTAATTAATATATGGTGATGATAAAGTGATAACGACTGTTTGAGCGTTTGATACGCAGAATACAGGATCAGCTGAAGACGAAACTAGTTGTTGGAGATGATTTCGCGTGGATCCTACCTTCCGGTTTTTCTAGCAGCCCGGCCGCGGCGGAGGGGGAGGCGGAGGAGGACAAGAGTCTTCTGAGGTACATCGGAGGAGTTGATGTCAGCTTCTCCAAAGCAGATCGTAACTCCTCTTCATCTTTAGCCTGCGCTGCTCTCGTAGTATTGGATGCTCGCTCTCTCAAACTTATCTATGAAGATTACACCCTTGTCCGAATCCATACACCTTATGTTCCTGGATTTCTTGCTTTTAGAGAGGTTTATCCCTTTTTTACTTCTCTTGCTGTTGTGGTCGGGGTCATTTTCCTCCTCCCTCCTGCACTAGTAAAGCTTTTCTCAGTCAGTCCGCTAAAAGTCCACCCCGAAAAAAAAAAAAAAATCTTTTCTTCTTCTTTTTTTTAAACTGCGTCTGTGCTGTATGTGACTCCTAACCTTTAATTCTCTTTATCACAGGCTCCTGTTCTCCTGCAGCTTTTGGACAAAATGAAGCGTGATGATCATCCTCATTACCCACAGGTAGGATTCATATGTTGATGCATTTGTGATATCATTTGTTTATTGGAAATTTGGTTTGTCAGACTCTGCTTCTTGTGACAACAATATAAGCTTATCAGGTAGTGTATAATATTACAAATACTTCAGTACTTCATTGAGGCTTCACCTCATGAATTAGCTCAATGTATTAGGAATAAAGTAACCATTAATCATTACACACGGGAAAATCACCATTAAATCTTAAAATTTCCTCCGAATTGCGCACATCATCATCCTCCTTTCACAATTGGAGAAATTGCCATTTTAGAAACTTGACAATGCCTCAGTGCTGGTTACGTCATCTTTTGAATTTGTAAATCAATGTCTTAGTTTTTTAGGATCCATAAAAGAAGGAACACATAGCATGCATTTGATGCCAGGTTACATGTCAGCATGTGCTACGAAGCTTTAAACCAACATGTTGACTTAGCTATTTGAAATCTTTTGTCTGTTAATCTCTCTTGACGTACATCTTACCATCAAATGTTCACACATATTACAATTTTTAGGATTGCACGCAACTAGATGTGTATATCTGAATATATTCTCCAGCTATAGATATATTCATGGGTAGCCCTCCACCATGAAAGACCTGATACCCGTAGCTTGCCTCCATTGCTGTTCTCCATATGAAATAAAATTGGATTAATACAATTTCCAGCTATAAAAGTAACTATGTACCTGATATGCGTTTGACATGGACTATCTTTCACCTTGGAAACAACTGAATTTCAAATCCTGATTTGCTACTAATTTCCATCTAAAAGATGTTGGATGTATACATGCGTGTATCTGAATTCAATTTCTAAATATGAGTACCCATGCACATCCAACTTGGGTAGGCTTCCACCTTGGGGGCACTTATGCTTCATAACCATATTCGGCATGTGGTCCTGACTGCATGTGGTCCTGACTGTTCCACTATGCCATAATGGTCGGTTTCACTGACTATATCATCTGGTCTACGAGGAGTCTAGGACCCTCTTTGTCTGATTGAATGATTATTTTTTCCTTTTGGATCTACACGTCAAAGGTGAAGTATCATGCTCTTAACTCATTTAGTTGCATATATTTCACAATAAGTGCATGTATTCATCTTAAGGACACAATTCAAACATACGCATGCTTTCTATTTTTATTATTTGATCTATCATTAATCATGATGTTCTATTGTTCACAGGTGTTGATGGTTGATGGCAATGGCTTACTTCATCCTAGAGGTGGGTTTCGAGAAAATTAATTATTTTTGAGATGGAATGGGATTGGAGGACTTAGTTTATTTAGAAAATTACGTTTAGAAAATTATTTATTTCCTTATGTAATCAGGAGTCCTTATGTAATTGGATTAGTATCATTTTATAAATAAAGAAAGAGAGAAGGGTTAACTTATCTCTCTAACCTCTTCAATTTTCCTGAATCAGCATGATATCAGTGCCACTCAAAACCCTGCCTCTCTCTAAACCCTAACTTAATTCTGACCCCCTCTAAATCCTAAGCGTAGCGCTCTAAACCCTAACATCTTTAACCTCTCTAATCTGTGCCACTTATATTGTATGTAGTAAATTTACCATGTGCAATATAACATTCATTTGTTGATTATATAGGAATCCCCCATTCTATCATTTGGTATCAAGTTGAGAAATCTTAATGTGTTATACATTATTTTGAAGAGTGTACCTTTCATGGCCTTCTTAGTTCATAAATCCTTCATCAATCTCTTTTCAGACTGTAGGCATCAAAAATTACCTATGAGTTTTCGCACGCAGATCGAAGCAGAGAGAAGACGATGAACGTCACTATCCGAGTCAAAGAAGTTTATCTAATATCGACAAACGCATGAGGTGAGTCGACGAATCGTATGAAGCAACGGAACAACATAATAACCAAGATACGAGCCGGTCGGGAGTTACGCTTCGCTCATGAAAGATGAAGCGCCCCTCGTGTCTCGTCCATTCCAAATGTGATTCAACCATGGGAGCTTGTAGATCTCTTCGTCGTCTTTCCTACGCACTTTAAATTGCATAATTCCGAGTTCGGATGACGAAAATACAGCGAAAATGACCACGGCGAGCTTGACCAGCGCCCGAGCCTTAGCAGGAGACACTGCAAGTGTCTCGGCCAAGGCCGAGACACTCAAGGTGTCTCGGTCATGGCCGAGACACCCAAGGTGTCTCCCAGCCTAAAAAGTCGTTTCGAAGCTGTTTTCGCCCGTTAACCGCTAGGATCTTGTTCTAACTGATCTGAAGCTATCCTAGAACGTGATAAAGTGATTATAACTGAAGATAAGAGGGAATCGGCAGTTCTTATCCTAAAACAGAGCTCTCGAAGCTTATAATACAGCCCTAGGGTTTTTATTTGCACGGATCTAAAATTCTCGAGCCTTGACCTGAATTGGAGACTGAAGAGCCACGAATTTAAGAGAGGAGGAGATCTCGGAGAATTCTTCGGCATAAAAAAAGAGAGTTCGACAGATCTGCAGCCCAGTTCTTCCCTTGAGATCGCACCATTGCTGTGATCTCGAGAAGAGTGGTTATCTCGCTGTTACCGAGATAATTGATTTGGTTTCTTGACTCCTTCGCGAGTCAACGAAATCTGCACTTTGAGCTGATCTTTTGGTGGTCCACGAATTAACCCCGACACTGGCAAATATTACACGCAAGCAACAGGAGATAAACTGCTGTTGTGTTTTGTTTGAAGAGAGTTGTAATATTCTTATTATTTTCATTGTGTAGGTGAGTCTTATAAAGAGACGAACTTTTACTTTTGAACTTGTAAACAATTGAAGTTGTAATGAGTTCATCAATGAAGATGTTAACTTTCACACCAAACAAGCTGGCGACCACAGTGAGAGCTAACAGCCTTACTGCTAAGGCTGTTATGTCGCAGTCGACGATCAAGATCCCCGTGGCTGAAGAGGTCGAATACGAGTTCGACCAACAGAAGTTCGAGGAGTACGTCTCCTCCTCCAGATCCGCCTCTCCTCGCAAGTGCAGGAAGATCTCCTCCTGAAAGATCCGTTGGTCTTCAGATTTGAAGACCCAAGAAGACGATCTCCCCGCTACCGCTGCTACAGTTGCACCTCGCAACGATCAGTCGGCGTCCGATGAAG